TTGAGACATCTTTTTTTTTTACAGAAAAGAATCTTCAAAATGTACTTGAAAGCATACCTAAAATATTCTCAAACTTGTTAAAGCATTAGACAAATTCAACAAAAATTTCATATCTATCACGTGAATAATATTTCTCGTCTCTCCAAGGAAAGTTCTCCAAGGAAAGTTCTCCAAGGAAAGTTCTCCGAGAAAAGTTGTTCGAGATGGGAGTACGGTGCGCACAATGAGTATTTTAATTGTATGAATTATTGGAACGGTTCCATTATACGTTGCACGTGGCAGTTGATTAATGCGCGAACGGTGCACTCGTCCTGTTTTCGTTCGAGTAGCCCCAGGCAGTTTTCGAACCGAACGTTTTTCTAACGGATGGATAGGTCATGTAAGACTTATCGCCGGGGCTGACGGTTCTAAATCTACGGGCCTCTTTATTTTCGGGGCCACTTAAACGCATTTGTTTACCCAACGGCCATTAACGACACCGAAATACCATCGCGCATGCGAAAACTCTACTAATCACCTGCGGGTTCTAAAAAAGAGAGACCCGTGTAATAATAAAATGTCGACAGAGTCCTTTTCCGTGCAAGCAAATGAATCGAATTTGGCAACGGTTCACTAAAATTACTTTCACAATAACGTCATGCACACGTGACCCGCGTAACGAGCGCGACTGGAATAGCCGATGGCTTTCTTCGATGCCGCCAGATATACCAAGTTCGATCGAGACTCAAAGCTGTGATAATAACTCGACGGTAACGATAAGCAACGTGGGATCTCTATGATTTCTTCGAAATTAACCCTTTGCACTCGAGGCCTTTTTTTCTGGTATCTATCAACGCTAGATGCTTCCTTAGGCCGATCGCACACGGTGCAACCGAACCAGTTTCAAACCACTCTGAAACTAGTTGCGTGCGACCGTGGATCTTGGTAAAACGAAGACAGTGGACGCAGGTAAAACAAAGAGCGCAAACGGTTTGCAACACTAATTTCAAATCGGTTGCGCCGTGTGCGATCGACCTATTGTCACGAATGCTAAGCTTAGATTGACTTCGAAAATGAGATCTCTAATTTGAGATTTGGGAATCGGGTCACCTTTGATGACAATCATTTTATCGACACTTCGAGTTCCAAAGAAATTGAGCATAAAGAAAATCTAGCGGTGACTAAGAATCACCTCTCGAGTGCAAAGGGTTGGTACCTGAAATTATTTCGGTCGATCCGCGGCTATATCGTGAGAGAGAGAGAGAGAGAGAGAGAGAGAGAGAGAGAGAGAGAGAGAG